TTTTGGATCCTTATATCAACATTGTAATCTCTGTTTGTTTGAATTTCTGCGAGTCTTCCATAGAAACACCATTTTTCTATTATTGATATTCAAAAGGCATTACAAAGGCGCCAAGGGAGAATTAGAGAGCTCCTAAATCTCTCCCGATCAAGCCTAGACAAAATGGTGAAAAAGCACGTCCCGTCTATACGTCTATCAGTCTATCAGTCTCGTGCTTGGATGATATGTTGGATTATCATGTAAGATGAAAATTTTCTATTCTAAGTGACCGACCATATGTTCAGGTTGTAAATTTATTCGATTCAAATCAATCATGAAAGATTAAGAATCTATTTGCCTATTTTTAACATTAAGATTGACACTAGTATCTTGAAGTCATATTTTATTTGATGAAAAATGATACCCAGAATGACCTTTGAGGAATAATTGAGGAATAAGGGAGATATGTATCTAAAAAAAGGCTTTGAATAAAATAAATGAATATATATATATACACACACGTATACAATTTCGATCATAAACGAAAGGAAAACTTTTAATTAAAATAATCCAAGATATTAAATTTTTGTCCATATCTTTTTCATCAACATTTTCATGTCTCTTGGGTTGGACATTGGCATCAAGGCTCAATCCACATTAAAAAAAATCAACAAAATATAAACAATTTATCAACAAAATAATATTAATACTAATGCTTTTTAATAAATTAGTGTAAAATGTCTATTCGGTATGAATTCTTTATTTTTATATATATTTTTTAAAAATATGCTTCACTTCGACATTTCATCGATATACATTGATATACTTTTATTGACATTTTCATAAAATTAATATCTCTCACATTTAAAATCTTGGGCAAATCTAAACTAATTTTAACTAATTTATAAACTCAAGCAAAATTTTGTAATGAGTTGGGTAGATTAAATTTTTAAGATCACCGAATGTTTTCAACAAGAGTTTTTCTATCAATAATCAAACTTTTGAAGTAGCTGGAACTTGGATATAAATAATTTTATGTTTGAATATAAATGGTTAAATATCCTATAAATGATTAAATTTACCATAATCCATAATCTTAAACTTTTGAATTCAATAATAATTTAATAATTTAATATTATATATGTTGATGATAGAATTCGGCCTCTTAGGATCTAGCCAAATTCACAACAATCCCCTAGAAATAAGGGATCGATGAGACCTGGAAAACAGAATAACGCTAAGACCGGTGTGGTTTTTGCCACACGGGCTCCAATGCTTAAATTAGTATCGGAGTAGTCGAGTATAGAGGGTAGAATTTTTAGACATACCTTGGGTTTAGCTTTATAAAGGTCGAACCCAATCCCTTCAGGGTTTATATGGATTTACATAAGTTGAATCATTATGCATTCAGGAGATCATAGACGGAGTGATCTCATGCTGCATTTAGGACCGGGACAAAGTCGATTCGGATCGGACTGCACGGGGGTGGGATGCATTGGAGAGGTTCTCGGCCATTGGGCTGAGAACTCCTGCTCGATGTCAACCCCAGGTCGGCTATGGCCGGCCCAGGTTGCTGGGCCCCGACCCACTTACCTCTCTTCAGGTCCACTCCTTCGACTCTCTTTCATCTTTTCGATTGTTTAGTCTGATCTATATTTTCTCCCTACGTATATAATCTCTATTTTCTCCCAATATATATACACGCACACACATGAAAACAAAAGAGAAAAGAGAGATGTTTTGATTATCTGAAAAACTGTGAGAATGAGAAAGCATTTATAACCACATCAATGAAAAACCAATCTTCTCTAAACCCACCCATGGTTTCTCCTCAAAATACCGACTGCTCTGATTCTGAAAAGACCTCTCTCTCTCTAGTTTTAAGAGTAAATGACCGCATCACAATCCGTATAATAAAGTAATAAAATTTTATAGATGCCAACTTCAAACGTGTATTCATTTCCTCGAGGTTTGGTCTCTCATATTTTCAAATTATTATAAAAAAAAAATTATAGATTTAAATACTAGGTTTAAATTCAATTTAGGTTCATAAGTTTTCAAGAATATTCTATTTCGATCCATGAACTTTCAAAATGTGTTTTATTTTGATCTTTAAACTTTCGAAAGATCTATCTTTAAACTTGAAATTTAAAAAAGTAACCACCTTTAATTTGATATTTACCTTTAGTTTGATTTTAATAAATTGATAACATGGCTTCGGATACGTGAGCATGTATTCAAATTCAAACCATATAGATTGAAGTCTTGGATAAGAAATTTTTAGGTGGAAATATAATCTAATAATGATAAAAAAGAAAAGTTGTTTATTTGAAAGTGGACTAAAAGTTATTGAATAAAATTTTTGAAAGTTCTGAAATTAAAATAGAATAAAGTCAGGGAGTGTATTCTAGGGTGGTTGTCTACGTCTCAATGTGGGTTGGGGCATCTTTTTTTTATTTATCTAAATTAATCCAAGAGCCACCATCTCTACTTTTCTAGGAAATCATCTCCGGACCTTTCCTTTTCCTATTCCTATTCCTATCTCTTTATTTCCTCTTTTTGAGAAATTCCTGCAATCAGAGGAGCTAGTATGAGTTCGAAGAGCTAGAAGAGATCGATATTCACTCACTTATTTATAAAAATCCTGTCTCTTATACACATCTTATGAGTTCGAAGAGCTAGAAGAGATCGATATTCACTCACTTATTTATAAAAATCCTGTCTCTTATACACATCTTATGAGTTCGAAGAGCTAGAAGAGATCGATATTCACTCACTTATCTATAACAGAGAGTAAAATTAAGAAAAAGAGAAATTTCAAGACCAACTTAAACCTAAATACAAATAATGAGAATATGTATTCAATTATTAATTATTTATTACTTTAGGTAATTTATTAATGATGTTACCACATCTTGTTCATTTTTTTTAGAGATCAGAGGTTGAATCTCCGACCCTCTGTTGTACTGGACGAATGATTAATGATTTTATTATTTTTCCAATTTCTTAAATAATTTGACAATGTGGGCGTTTTTGTCAATATGGATATTAAATTCAATTAAAAAGAACATCTGAGTACCCTATTGGAACTCTTGTCGGCTTGGAAATTTGAAGAATAAATGAAAAAAGGGTCCCACAAGTAGGTAGCCATGGCCCATCCTTTTCAATTATGATGCTTCTTCTTGTGAACCTCATGTTTTCGTTATGAAAAATCCAACTCCAAATTGAAGTTGTCTGAAAAAAAAAACTATGCTGGTAGATAAAATTTGATTGAAATGTGAAAATTTGTCGATGTTTGAGCCCGAAATTGATTGGGCTCAGACACGATTCAGATCGGTGTGCTTAGAACGAGTTATAGCCAATAGTCCCGCACCTCCCTTGAACAGTTCTTGRGACCTGCAAAACAAAGTTAGCACTCCGACGAGCAAGTTAGTTCTGGTCCGAGCTAACTTGCCGAGTCTACTTAAGATTGCATACCTTGCATTTAAGGCAAAGRTTTCTATTTATAGAAAYTGGGCCCGACAGGGATTCTGACACACCCTAAAATCGCGGCGTGYTGCCGGGTACGGAAGGGACACTGTTACRRATTTTGTTTCAGCTCAGCTCGGCACTATAGGTCCTACCCTGACTGCCGACCTGAGTAATTTGGAGTTGACTTCTCCATTTTGCCCGCGTGTTCAACCAGCTCACCTTTAGGATCATTACACGTGGCAGGCCAGGATTCGCCTCCAACAATCGATATTTGGAGTTTTTATGAATGGTCCATCGAAAAAAGATAAAAAAATAAAGAAATAAGTAGTAACTATTGATTTTTGCATAGTCTAAGATCTATCTCATTGAGAGGTGTCTAGTCATTCATGTACGGCGTCACGTTAGCTGATTAGTATGATGTGACATACTGACAAATGACTAAAAAAAGTGAATAGCTGGATAAAATAAATGTCACGTACGTAACAATACCCTCTAGTTTCTTACACACAAAGCACTTGTTTTGTTGAATGGATCAACGACTGTAAACTATCTTCATCTTAACTAATCTAACATTAAATTTGAATTTAGATTTGTCAAAGCGAGCATAGTTTAGTCATAATTGACATATATCTCTAATCAAAAGGTTGTAGGTTCGATCTCCCACTCCACATATTGTAAAATAAAACTACGTATGGATTTATTATTTGTTTGGGATAAAATTTTGAGAAAATATTATTGAAATTTTCAAAATTGCACATTGATGATCTGAGATTATGAGTGGGGTTGGTTGGTCATTTACTCCACAATTTAAATAGGAATCAAGTTGACAAGTTGGTGTCAGAGACAAAGCTTTCAGAAAAGAGAGTTATTGAGAGAGGAATGCAGAGAGTCCACACATTTTACTTTGACCATTTATTGCTTCATCAAACTCCCTCCTTTCTTCCTTCATGCCTAATGCTACTCTAAATCATATAATCAAAATCTTGCGGGTTTGTCGGTGAGCATCTATCTTCTTACTCACCGCTACTAAAAATTTGGGTTCTTTATTATTATAATTTAAAAGAAAAAATATAATCTTTTTTAATTTCTGCATTTTTTTTGTCAAAAATTTAATGGTGGATTAGTAAGAGATGGATGGTGATCCGTATATAAATAAGTGAGAATCAATGTGGCAATGCAGCTAGCAAAAGCGACATTTACAACTATTTTTTTGACTCTCTACTTTTAATGGTTATCAACTATTAAGAGAGGGCGCACTACAAAAATTAGGTCTTTCAGCGATGAAAATATTTCGTCACTGAAAAGCAAATTTCGTTGCTAAAGATTGTTGGCGACGAAAACAATTTCATTGCAAGCTTTGCCGCCGTACATGAGTCGCTGAAGACTTTAGGCAACTCGAAGCACGTTTGCGACGAAAATATATTTCGTCGCATCAATGACATTACATTAAGATGACGAAAATGTAATAACGTGGCCGAGCGACGAAATAACAATTTTTGATGAGAGAGGGAGGGAGAGAGACAATCATATTTATGATGATAAAATGACTCTTTTAAGAGAATTATCAAACCACACACATTTTATCTCGTAAATCAATCTGAACATAGTTCAACTAGTTAAGACATATACATCTTCGACGAAGAAATCGTACGAACCATATATTTTAACCCATAAGGGAACAATTAAAATCAAATTATTTATATGTATTGGAATCTAAAAACCAAATTGAAAACATAATATGGAAAGAAATACGAACACTTTTGAAGAAAATTAAGGGTAAGAAATTAGGGTTTAAAGTAATTCAAAATTCAATAGTCCTAACGAAGTTGAGACACTCATCGTTGATCCAACTGTACTTCTCCATGAAAGGGTTGACTAAGCACTGGGGAGGGTAATGATCAACACAGTCTTTCCATACATTCTCATCTTCCAAATCTCTCGTCACTTCCCAAGCACAGTTATTGCACTTGAATCCAGCTCCAAAGCTTATCATCAAGATTCTATCTCCTTTCTTCAATCTCTTCTTCGCTTCCATGTACCCGAACACGTACCAAAACCCTGCACACAAGAGCGGAGTTAGAAATTTTTGTGATCTTTCGATTCTAAGATCGTATCATTTAAAGTATTTTAGTGTCGAAGTATTTAGTTAAAGTAAACGCTTAGCTAGTGACTAGTTAACTAGAACAACAATACTTAGATGTTTATCGATCTGTACGCATCTTCTAGAAATTTAATTAACAGCTAAAAGGTAGAAAGATATCTTATTTTCTGCACCTTCCTTTTTTCTATTGGTAAAGAATTTAATGGTGGGTAAAAAATATATATTCTGAATGATAAATACCATGTTGTGGCTGACTACCATTCAATTTTTAACGAGAGCGAAAAATATAGAAAGGAGAGAGAAAAAGATATATTATTTCTATTCATTTAAAAAAACCAATAAAATTTTTATTGGTATTGCTAAATATTGCTCTTTATATATATATATATTTTTGGGTAAAGTGCTTAAAGAATTATTTTTCTTTAAAAATAGTTTTTTTTTTCCAGAAGTTATTACATAAATTTGTTTTACATAAAATTTTCAGGAAAATTGCTACCCTCCATTTCCCGCCCTGCCCTTGTCAGTGTTTTCGAGTTGACGTTGAGCCTTTTATATTCTAACTTTTTACTTTAATCTTTCGGAGTAGATTAAATGAAAATAAAATTTAAAATCCTTTTAATATAATTAAGAAGAAAATATTAAAGAGCAAGAACAATTGCCTTCCTTCATCCTTACCTGCAGACGAGGTGTTTCCGAATCGATGCAGCGCCATTCGAGCTGGCTCGAGGTCGTAAGCGGTGAGGCCCAGGCTCTTCCCGACGCTGTCGATGACGGCCCTCCCGCCGGGATGAATACAGAAGTGTTCCACACCAGTCTTGAGATTCAATCCCACAAGTTGGCCTTCAGCCATGGCTTGTTTTGCTTTGTTTTGGTTGAGAGAATAAGCAATGGCGTAACGAATGAGGTCGATTAATGGCAAAATCTTCGGCACCAAAACCCTCAAGTTCATACCAAATATTTTTGCCGCTGCTTTTGGGAGATTCTTTGTCAGCCTAAACCCACGATACCCTTGATCATCTTCAACCTTTTCAATAATATCAAATTATTAAAAGAAAAATAATAATAAATTTATTGCAACTGGATCATTTTAAGTTCAAACATGTAATGTCTTTTTCTCTTCAATTAATATCCATGTTGGATCTCGTGCGAACTTCCAGTGTTGATAAAATATGAATAAAAGATTTAATTTACTTCGTCATTTGTGCATTTAAAGTTTATTGTAGTTTTATTGATAGTTTAACATGATATTATACTAGAATATTATCCTATCCTCCAAAATTAATACTTATTTTATCTTCTAATTATATATATATATAATCTTTTAATTTAAAAAGAATTAGAACAGGACTAATAAGAGAGAAAATTATAAAATCATAGCCTCGTTGGACACGATAATTTCGTTTCTAGCTTTTACAAATTGTGTCTGCTTTTTCACAATTTCTTTGGTACGTCTTTCACGAATTCCACCATAGTTTTTAAAATTTAACTCAAATTTTGAAAACATTTTATAGGAAACTAAAAGTAAAACAGTTACAAAACATGACATTTTTAAACGGTAATGGAAAATACTCAACTCCTTATTATCATTGAAAAATTGACCACTCGCTCCTTAATATCAAGAAACAAAGTGTTTTTCAACTCCAATATCGCTATACTAACATTCAAACTCATAAATAAGAACGACACACAAATAAGATTACAAAAACCAAATTCTCAAAAAATGAAACCCAACCACATCTGCCAAATCTAAGCTTAGGTCAACTGACACCATCTGGTTAAAATCCCGCCCATATTATATTAAAAAAAAAAAGAAAAAGAAAAAAGAAAAGAATCCGCACCTGAATACAACATTGATAGGCTTCGTCATTAGCACCAAGATGCGTCCGAACCAAACACTTGAGCTTCAACATGGCCTCATGTCTCAAATCTCTCTTATTCGTGAAAAGCATCGAACACCCACCAGACCGAAACAAACAATTCGACAGAATCATCTGTTTCTCCTTCCCGCCGTACCAATTGGGGCCAATGGACTCCGTCGCCACAACAACAGCGTAGCAATTCTGGTAGCACTTGAACAAATTGTTCACCAAATCAATGGCCACGATGCTGGCGCTGCACCCCATCCCGGACAGATTGAAGGCTTTGATGTCGTGCCTCATTTTGTAGCGGTTGACGATTCTGGAGGTGAGGCAAGGGGAGGGGGAGAACAGGGACACGCTCACGACGACGATGTCGATGTTGGACGGGGACACGCCGGGGTTCTTGGCAAAGAGGTTGTCGAGCGTGTCGAAGATGATGTCGTCCATCTCAGAGACGGCGTCGTTTAGGGTCGGGGAGTACTCGCGCCCGTCGAGCACGTTTTTGGGGCCGTACGTGTGCTCGCCGATGCCGGAGCTGACGATGGTCTTGAGGAGGAAGCGGTACTCATCGAGGGAGAGGTTTCTGTTGCGTTGGACCACTCGGACGCAGGTATCGGTATCGAGTTTTCTGGTTGGGTCGGCGGGTTTGTAGCATTGGTAGGCGAGCATGTAGCAGCATTGGTTCCGCCATTGGAGGAGGAGCTTGAGGAGGAGGGAGATGGCGTAGAGGAGGAACAGGAGTGTTAGTGCTGTAATGATGTCTTCCATGGTGGGTTGGCGTTTAAACTTGAGAGACAAAGAGAGAGAGGGGGGGAAAGAGGATGGGTTTCGTGTTTCTATTCAAGGATTTAAATAGGTTTAAATCTTGTGTTTTAGCTAGTGGAAAGAATTATTGAATGAGGCTGTTTTTTTCCGTACTTGGGCCTTTTGAGCCTTGTCGTATCATTTATAGTGTTGTTATCAGTTTAGGCAAAAAGCGGTTTCGATTATAGAGATCCACAACATAGTCACACTACATCAATTTCGAAAAATTAAAAAAGAAAAAAAGGACTTAATAAGGATATTTTCTTTTTCAATAACCACTCTTTATATGTTTTTCGATATATTTCTCGATTCCTTTCTAATAAATAGACTATTGTAACTTTTATGGTGGAGTTTCTTCTTCTTCTTTTTTTTTTTGTTTTCTATTAATCTTTTTCTTCTTGCTTAATTAGGCTTCCTCTATCACATATTTATATATATGTTAAAAATATCATATATTAGTTGTTTGAATTTTTAAGATTATTTTATTTTGGTTACTAGACATGGAGGTAGTGTCATAGCTATGATGATTTTCAAAGGCCAACTTACGGAGAAGAGAAGGGGTTTCTTGTTTTATTTTGTTTTTATTTTTTGGTAATGTTTTCCTTATTTCTGATATTTTTTTTCATGATTATTCTGTTTTTAGGTTTATTTTATTTTGGTTCCTAATTTTTTTTTTTTGAAAAATGTCTATTTTATTTTTTAACTCTAAAAAAAAGTATTCATGAATATTGAAGTCATATATATTGGTTGAGAGGAGTGATAAAAGTAAAAATGTGATATAATTAAGTGAGGTAAAATAATAGCAATATTGATAAAAATAGTTATTTTTTTTTTAAGTTTATTGACAAAAATAAACATTTTTTAAAGTCTTGAGAGATTAAATATATATAACAAACTCAAGAGACCGGAGACCAGAATAAACGTCATTCAAATACCAAAATGGAATAATCAATAACTAATATTAAATAATCTTAAAAGTTTAGACCAATATAAAAATCTATAATATCTTAAAATAAGTATTGTACACTTTTAAATAATTTAAAAATTCTTATTATTAATGTTTTCGTTCACATCATCAAAATTTTGCTGACACTTTTTATATTTCATCAATATTTCTATTCTATATCAGAAATGTCGAATTATCTTTCTTATTGATATTGATATGATATATAAATATAGGGTTAAAAAAAGGGCTTCAAGTTCAGGTGCAAGTTGAGTAAATTTGTTCCATTTTAATGCAAGTCTAAATAAAGGGAGTGACAAAGTCCACTCAATGGAGGTCTTCCCGACATATCTTCAATAGCATGCTCTTACTTGCTTTCACCCATACATTCGTAGTCTACTTTGTTTGAAGTGTCCGTTTCGAGTGCAAACAGTATTGCGGAAGTTCTTGTTGAAGTATGAGGGTGCATTGGCGCCTAATTAGCTAGGCCCTTTTCTTGCCGTTACCAATCTTCAACCTAACCAAGTATTTGACCAGATAGTAATTTAAAGCTATGGTAGAGGAAGAAATTTATTTTGTTGCATGAAATTTGACATTTAATTTATTCTAATTCTTGTTTTTTTAGTATGCAATTTCGGTCGTTGAATTTTTAATGAGGTGCTTTTACAATGCATTAAGTTTTTGTTTATTGAATATCATACAAATTAAATTCTAGTTTCTAGCTTAAATCACAAAGTTATAGTATTCACAAAAAGAAAGTAAAATCCATGTACTATAGTACACATTTTATTAGATGCAATATAAAGATTTAATGCTAATAAGGAACAAACTAGATTTTCATGTATTAGTTAAAGGGCTAAAATAAGATTTATTTTCAAATATGGTTTCGGCCTTTAAATATTTTTTTTATATATATTAATTTTTTTCATTGAACTTTTGAAAGGTTGACGGTTCTTGAATATATTTATATTTTTTAATATTTTTAATCATTTAACATTTGAATCTCAATTTTAATCTTTAAACTTTCACTCAATATCATGTTTAATTCCTATATAAAATTAATAATGTAGATATTACATGTAGATAATGAAATAATGAGGTAACGTCAAAACTTCTAACTCCCGCTTCCACAATTAAAAATTGAATAGAGTAATTATAGCATATTTTTAATTAATTAAATGTAAAATTTTTACAATTAAGACTAAATGCCTAGGGTTTTAACAAAAAGTTAGCTCAAGAATTAAGATTTGAAAGTAAAAATAAGCAAAAGATGAAAATGTATTTTAAAAAATCTAAGAAATAAATAGAATTGAAGAAGGGAAATCTACCTCTAAACCTAAAATGTTAGAAGCAAACTTTTAACAAAGTATACAAATTTATTACTACTTAAATAGCCCTTAAGAAATTAATAATGACATATATATAATTACAGGGTGCTAATGTTCTAAGAATTTCATACATCTCAAACTTTTCAAAGAAAAAAAAAAGGAATTTCATACATCAATAATTTGGCTGTGTTATTCATAATTTGATTCAATAATTCAATTTCAATAATTTATTAAATATTCCTCATTGAATTATCAGATCTATTAGGTGAGATTTACATCYAACTTCTCCTGAGAAAAAGTGACTGTTATTAATAAAAGTCATAAATGAAATTAACCATTTATGTAATAATGGTGGCTTTCTAAAAAAAAATAATAGTAAAATAATAAATAATGATTGTAAACCCTGAAACTTAATTAGACCAACKAAACTCAAGAACATACTCACTATCATGAGTTGATCTAGTGGTCTATAGGAACTACAGGTAAATTCTAAAGATTTAATTTCGTATGATTTTCTTTGATAAACCAAATGTAATAAAGTCAAACGAATTCAGACACTTAATTCTTAGAAATCTCAATCTCTAACTGTCCTGGGCCAGATTGTGAGCTAGAATATTTCTTCCTTGATTTGTGTTAAATCTTCAACACTTTCAAGTTCATTTTTCATCTCCTTTTGTTTCCTCTATTACCTCAAAAAAATTTCAATGAGATTCAATTCTTGATTTGTTCATAAATATTGTTATGTTGTGTACAAAATGAACAAAAAGATTTTAGAAAGAAAATTAGGCTAGAATGCATCAAAATCTGAAGTGGAGATCCCAATAATCAAGTTTAAAAAGTTTGTGATCCTATCCATGGAGGGCGATAATTAGGTTCGAGCTTTGAGGACSACTGTACCAATGCTAAGATGAATTAGAGGAGTAACATGTAAATATTTGTTGAATCAGGTATTGTTTTTATAGTTTAATACAAGAGGTAGGAATTCGAACCTACAACCTTTAAAAAAGTAAATACTATCTTGACTCGTTGAACTATACGCATGTCGGTGAAATGAGTTGCTTAAGTACTGGTCCAAGAATTGGGAGAATTGATTAATGCGCAACGAAACCACCACAATAAAGGTTTCTTTTGTTTTTGTTTTCTTAATTTTTAATTTTGGGTACAACTACACTAAAGTTTGATAGTCCTCTTTTGTTATTGTTAGGTATAACTTAAATTTTATGGTCCTTTTTCCCTTACTAAGTATGAGTTGGTTGAGTCGTCTCTGGAATTCTCCCCTCTCATACGAAAAAATGTAGTAAATAGCCGATTTTAAGGTTGGAAAATTACGCTCGCATAAATTTAATATGTATTTTTAAAAGTGTGATAATTTTTATTTTTTATTTTTCAAATATAGAGTAGGTTTGACTTTTTTTAACCTGTTTTATGTAACATTTGGATTCAGCTGTTTTTGTAAAGTTTTAAATTTTATATTCTATTTGAAAATACACCTCGTACATTTATTTTATTCTAGTGATGTAAATAACTCGATTTATTGTTTCGAAAAAAAAATTATATATTTAAGAATTACCCCGTAGATATTCTATAAATGATTGATACCATTATAAATATGATTCAATCAACAATTCTTTTAATTAATTATTAACCAAATGATGACCGACCCTACCTATAATTAAAAATATAAAAAATAAACATTTGATGTGTACATTTAGTGACTCACGCATAGCCACAGATTAAGATGTTTACAGGATAAGGATAGGGAAGGCTTCTTCGTCCTCGTCCCTACCCCATTTAACTCTCCATCCATGTGAAATTCTCGAGAAGTTTCGCATGGATCAAGATGAAGATTTTCGATAGGAAATTCAARGGGATTGGGTTTCCATAAAATTTTTTCCGTTTATTTTTATTTTTTAAAATGATTTCTCATGTAAATATTTTTTTCTTAAAAAAATTTCTAATTAATTACTTAATTTTTAATGATAAAACCTCGTTAACATRGTCTAATCCTTTTTTATATGYACTGGATGGATGGGTACGATTTATTTGTATATATATAGAAATTTCTAATTAATTGCTTAATAAATGTATTTGTATCCATTTTAGATCTTAAATTTTAATAAATGACAATATATTTATTAAAATAGTCTCTCCAACCATAAAAATATTTGCTTAGCTAGAAATCTCTAAAAAAATCTCTAAAAATGCACAATTTTTTTTTTACGGAGATAAAAAGGCACAATTAACTTAATTCTAAAGAATACAAAGTTTTGTCCTTTTTTAAACCTATTCAATTTATATATCTTCAAATTTTAATTATCTATTTAAATAGTATAAATAAATAAATGTAGCACAATACATAACCAATATGTGACTTAGATGTTCCAATAAAACTTAAATTTTTTTTTTKATTTGCCCAGGGACAAAACCATATGTCACTTCATTGTGCCACGTCAGCTATACAGGGTGCTGTGTTGGCTTTTCTTACTATTTGATTAAAAAACTATATTTATTTGTTTTATATAAATAAAAAAGTATAAGAATTAAAATGTAAAGGGCAAAAAAGGCCTAGAACAGGTAGAATATTTTTGTACTAAAAAACAGTTGAATCCTTTTTGCACACTACATTCCTAAAATTAAATATTTTAGCTGTCATGTTGCATATTATTGGTAATGGACATGAATTAATTATTACATTTGTTTTCAATAAATAGTGAATTTAAATGGGCGGAAATTTGAACTTTTCAAAAAAAATGATAATATGATA